TCTTCACACCAAGCTGCTTACCTATTGCAGATTCAGTCTTCCCAGCCTGGTGCAGGTCTACAATTTTGTTTCTGGTGTCCTTTGACAGCTCTTTGGTCTTGGCCATAGTGGAGTTTGGAGTGTGACTGTTTGAGGTTGTGGACAGGTGTCTTTTATACTGATAACGAGTTCAAACAGGTGCCATTAAAACAGGTAACGAATGGAGGACAGAGGAGCTTCTTAAAGAAGTTGTTACATGTCTGTGAGAGCCAGAAATCTTGCTTGTTTGTAGGTGACCAAATACTTATTTTACCGAGGAATTTACCAATTAATTCATTAAAAATCCTACAATGTGATTTCCTGGATTCTTTCCCCCCATTCTGTCTCTCATAGTTGAAGTGTACCTATGATGAAAATTACAGGCCTCTCTCATCTTTTAAGTGGGAGAACTTGCACAATTGGTGGCTGACTAAATACTTTTTTGCCCCACTGTATCTATCTATTTATCTATCTATCTATCCACAGTTTCTGCCTTTTTCTTCTTTTGAAAAAAAAAAAAAAAAGTGGAGTGTTTTTCTATGATTAAACCGAACTTGTTGACACCTCTGCAAATGATGGAATTTATGTGTTCCTTAATATGTTCATGAACGAAATCATTTCTGCCACATTACTATGTTTACAGGCTTTCACCTTACGAACACAGTCCATGTAGTTGTTGCGCTGGAGTGATCCACGAGGGAACTCGTCTGACTGCATGGGGAAATGAGCAGCCACTAAAGCCTCCAGAGCCCTCTGCAGATCTTCCAATGGACCACTGGGTAACGTAGTGAAGAAGGGCAGCATGATCAGGGCCTGGCTCTGTGGGTTCCAAAAATGGCACTTAACAAGGTATTTTTAATACAAGGTATTTTCAATATTAAAGTCTAAATACATTTAGAATATTAAAGTCATCAGAAAACAACAAGCAAGGGACTATGATTATTTTCATTTTTGATTAAATGTAACTTTACTTGGTAAAATAAGTTACGCTTCAACATGCATATGAATATTACATTCATGCATGGAGATACACAGTTTGGAATTACTTTAAAAAGCTCACTACCTTTAGATTTAAGGGCAGAGCTGTATCTGTGATGAGGGTGGTAAAGGTAGCAAAAACAGCAGTAAAAGCTGGGTGACTAGTATTTGTGCTTACTGAAGAGTCAATCTGTGGACAACAAAAGAATAATTATACAAACCAGGAGCAAAAATATGTATTAGAGTGATTACAGAAAAGTGCAAGAGTGTGATTATTTATTCTGTATATTTTTAAAGTGTCTAATAGCATCGGGTGCACTGATGCATTTCTGATACCTGCAGAACTTTGGAAAGCAGTGTAATAGTTGAGGTTTTGCTCTCCGGTGAGGAGGAGGGGCCTGCCCACCAGGGTTTCAGCAAGTCCCACTGCTTCAGTACTTGCTCTGCCAATTGTGAGCCTTGAGTCTTCCTGACGGAACGCTCACGGAAACTGTGGTCCAGCATGCCGTTAAGGAGGACACTAACCTGAGGAACGACAGGCATTCATACATTTACAATGTGTAACGTCTTATTCAAACATACACTGAACAAAAGAGAATGACAGAAAACATCCTCTGTTGCATTCAAGTGGGAAAATTAAGCTGAGACAAAAGCCCAGGCCAAAATATTATTAAGGTAAGGGGAAGGGGGCAGGGCTTCCAGCGGTTCAACTGGCTCTCAACTGGCTCATCTGCCATATTTATTTAGAAAAGTGAAGACTTTTTTTTGGCTTACTTTTGAGTAATAACGCTGACTAAAAACCTTCATATTCACATTTTCCAGTTTATTCATGATCTTATCCATTCAGGATTTAGAAATCAGGTTAGATGGAACAAGGAAACAAGATTTTACACAGGGCAGGGCCAACAATGAGGTCCCTCCTTTGTTCCCTTTCTTTATTCCATGCAGGAACTCTTACCATGCCAGGGCTCTGAGTTGCTGCAGTAAGCAGCAGAGGCACGGAGCGGTCCAGCTGCCTTAAGAGTTCTGCATTGGTGGCGTTTTGGAAAAGGCTGTAGAAATATTCTCCATGGGAGAAGCTGAGGAAGTGAGGATTCAGGCTGCCAGATAAAGGCACTGACAGGGTGATCGAGTTGAGCAGCAGACCCACCAACTGCTCTGTCTGTGGAATAAAAGAACAAGCAGGGTCATTATTGCAGTTGATCTGCATGGCTTTTATGGGTGATGATCTCAAAGTTACAAACAGAAATTATGCAAACTCTGCTGTTGACAGAAACATGTATGTTGTACTTACCTGATCACCCAGTGAGAAAGCCAGCTGTACAAGACCATTAGCTAGCTTCCTGCTACTGACATCCATAGAGGGGAGGGACTTCCTGTTCTCTCCAGGTGCAATGCCTTTGTATACTGCCATGAGAAGTCTGGAACCTAAAGAGCTACTGTAAGCCAAATCCTGGACAAAATAAATTCAGATGCTTAGTGTAAAAGTATTGATACCACAATGCAAATAATAAACTGACGTGAAATGCAATTGGAAAGCAGGATACCTTGTTGTGTAGGACAGAGCTGAGAATCCCACTCTGGTGAAGCTGTTTAGAGGCTGAGAGTAAGAGTTCCAGCTTGGCATGGCTGTCATGAGAGTCCGGATCATACAGATCTACTGCACACAACTCCTCCACACTGTTCAGGCAAACATGAAAACATATGAAACAGTATTTATATTGGAATGAATCAAGTTTAAACTGAAGTATTATTATTATTATTATTATTATTATTATTATTATTATTATTAGCAGTAGTAGTAGTAGCAGACCATTGGTCAGTTATGTTCCTCCTAATGCCACTCTCCAGATCAGTCCTGTACGGTGTTGCGGCCAGAGCCTTCAGCAGCGGTACACATACCTCCGGCAACCGAGTCATCACCTCCAAATCAGCCATGTTGAAGCCAATAGAGGAAGGTTCACATACCGTCATGCTGACTAGAGTGAAGAAGGTGGCACCAAAAAAATCCTGTTCCAGTAGCTGGAATGAGATTTTCAGACAATGCATGACAAGTTTTATGTCCCTATTTGGACCAACAAAACACATAACTGCGAAACGCATCAGACCTTCCAGACATCCTTCTGGCATTTGAGCAGCACCATGGTGGAGAACTCCAGCAGGCGCACTATGATGGTGCACTTGTTGTAGTTGTAGAGCTCTATCTCACGAGGGCTAAAGTGTGGCCAGGTCGAGTCAGCTGCTTTGAAACAGGCCCTGGCGGCCTTCAGGTCATGCAATGCCAGTTCTGTCAGGAAGAAACGGAGGGCTGGCAGGAAGCTGGACTTCTCACCAGGATCTGGTAAAAAGAGATGAAGATAAGCATTTGTAGTGAAGTGTTGACTGTTTTCAATACTTCTATAGCATAATATACATGTATAACACACATTTGGCTATGTTCAATCATTTCCTTCAACAAGAATCATAAACAATGTGTGTGGACTGAGGCAAATGTGTGCGGACTTTATTCTTTAAGTTATTTATAGTGCAGTAGTTGATAACC